TAAATGAATTCCTACCCGTGTGGTACGACCGGTGCGTTTCAAAGTCTGATGTAGTCAAAGGGTTAAGGACCAGCCGGGCCCGAACGGAAAGTTTGGTGCCAGTCTCTGGGACCGTGCCACTTAACGTGTTAACGCTGCTTTGTTGCTGACGAATAGACGAATTTTACAACCGGTGCAAAGGTTACCTCGAGTTGACGTTGAACTTCAGAACAAGAAAAAGACACATTGAAAAAGGGAACATCCAAAGACATATTGGATGTAATTCTAAAATAAAGATACCCAAAGACACATCGGATGTAATACTATCACTTAGGATACTTGAAAAATTTTAGTTCAGCAAATTTATTTAACGACATTCATTTGTCCTGATCTAGACAACGTAAATAGCTCGGGAGACGCATTCTTACGCTACAAAAAGTCAACATCGACCTTAAGTAAGCCAATCAAAGTCCAAATTCGGTAGAGGAAGGAACCAACTATGCGTCATTCTCGAGGTAAGCAATGCAGCTGTTCTCGATATATTTCCGTCTTGTTTCGTGATTAAAGACTAACTCAAGGTTATTTTATTACAGGTCGTTTAATGCGTCTATTCAGTCGCATGAAGAAATATAAAGTACTATTTAAGCGACTCAAGGTCTTTTAACCGATCTTATTGTCTGAACCATTTAAAACGTAAAGCATTGAGATCATGATACGCCAATTGGACAAACTCTGTGACTAAGAATGGTATAAAAGAGACCATTTTGGGTATGAAGAGATAATGTTTCTTGCCTCTCACTTTGGCCATTATGGGGCAGAGCTCAAGGCAGAAATCGCATTATTTTCTAAAATTCTGCTGTGAACAACTACTGTACCACCGTTAGAAATGACCAGCTTGGAAGAAACAGTAATCTACAGGATATTCACTGTAGAAAAAATGTAAAACTGGAAAAAGAACGAAATATATTGTCACTTTTACTTCTTTGAGTGCTATGCACTCTGCGTGGCTGAAAAGAAGTCATCTGAGAAACTTGTAGGACCGAATCCCCACCAGCCCAACCATTCTAACATCATGGCAGAAGTAGAGTAAAACGCTTCCCTTATTGGTAGCACTGATCCCTTCCTATTAGCTCAATCATAGAACACCATGTGACAAAGAAAGCGAACGAAGCAACGAGACAAAGCGAGACAGATGCAACAAATAGATGCAAGAGCGTAGACTCATACCAAAAGCATATTAACTTCAGATTCTTCCGATGAACACACGATTATTTGCAATTACTAATTACTAATTAGCATCTTTATTAACTTTTCATTGCATTATGCAGCAAACGTGACGTACTATACACATATTTTTTATATTTATGTTGTATCGTGTGATTTTTTAAACGGTTATCTAGTACGATGCAATTGCATAATTAATTTATCATAAAAGATACATCTTAAATTTTAAATCAATTTTCATAAATGATGTTAATTATTATTACTTTTGTACTTCTTTACTTTATAAATCTTCGAGCTATTGTCATCTGATTCCTTATCCGACTCACTGCTTTGTATTTCCAATTCTAGGTCTTCAGTTGCGTCTTCTATTATTCCATCTTTCGTCCAATATTCGTGTTCCAGTGTTTCTACGTGTTTACAAAATCCTTTCCAATCATTTGCTGTCGTTTCGTTTATTGCCTGGCGTAGTAGTGCTTCCAATACATTGTAAGTTAACTCTGAGATAACGTTTCTTTCGCGGATTTCTTACGCCTATGTTAACGTATCACGTTAACGAATTTGGAGATAGTAGTTTTGGGAGTGTCATAGAAGAATGGGTATTACTAGCGAGAGTATAGGCGGAACAAGTGGAATACTCCTCTTGTCCCGCAATCGAACGAGATGACTTTTCAGCCACGCATAGTAGTTTCGTAGCACACGTGTCCTTGCAAATTGAACTTACAAGGAGAGTGCAAGTCATTCGGGTCATTGATTTAGTTGAAACTTTGCAGGTTTGTAGATTTAGTCATTCAGTTCCAAAAAATGCATCATTATAAGGGCATTTACTCAATAGTTTTCGAAATATTTATGACTGGAGCTTTATTATTGCCTTAAGTACCGATTTATTTCAAATAGTTATCAGGTGTCGTTGTGGCTTAACTCTTTCGGCATTTATTATTGTTAAGCCTTGAAATGTCGTGCCGGTATTTCATTCGGCCCTTTGTTTAGAATAGACCAAGAAGACCGTTAGGGTGTTCTGGCAGCCAGATTCTAATTGCTGTTTCAGTTCAAGTTCCGTGTCCTTTCTATCTTCATTTTCAATACATTTTCAAACAATTCTTTATTTCCCTCGGGTCACCGGACACGAGGCATTCTTTAGCCATTAATGTAAGAAAGCAGGCAACAGTACTTAGGATTTGGCTGACAATAGGCCTGCAAAGAAAGGGACCAGGCCATGTGCGATGTCGCGACTTTCGGAGCCATAAAGTAACGAGTCCTTCAGGAAGGATCACGAATGTGCGGGTGGCCCACCAGCAACCCCCTTTGAGGGAGAGGCTTCCTCCACCGGCAGACGTGGTCGCGGAAGACGGTCCTCCCTTCTTTGGGGGCATGTGATTCACGAACCGAAGGCCCACCCTTGGTCCTGTCAACCACCAATGGGAAAACCGATTTCCCTTTGAAAACCATGGGCTCCGAAAGATCGTGCATCGCAGAAGTTAGTTAGGTCAGTACCAGCCAGTCAGCAAATAACATTCGAAGAGTTCAGAAGAGTTAACCGGAACAATTACAAAATATACAGTCCACTAAAAACACAAGTTCCTCAAGAGATTTGGTTCGTCATTAACCGTCGCCAATTGCGGACGACGATATACAATTATTTAGGATTCGATGTTTGAGTTGTTCCAGGGGTAAGCCTAGAAGATTCGTTACTGTCTTCTAATAGGCAAATCCTAAATGCTGAATGGTTTGATTTCTATGTTTAATCCAAAAGGATAATTTTTAAAATGGAGGATTTTTATTTGAAAATTTAAAAATGGGCATTTAGTTCCTGGTAGGTGTTGCATCCCTAGGACCACACGTCCCAGATTAACTCTTTGGGGCACGCTGGGATTAAAAGTGTTCCACCTCTTTGATGCACCGTAATGCATGTTGGGACATTTTTAATCCCTCCTCGAAATATTGCAATAGTTTAGTCCCACCTCGAAATATTGCAATAGCAGCATGCACATAGGTTCATATTTCGTTTTATTTACGTAAAGCAGTTGGTAATACCTTCGACAAACATTATAAATGTATTCGCTCGTGTTGGCAACATTCAACATACCAGTACAGGTTCATCGATTGTTGCAAGCGGAAGGTTTATCGCGACAATCTTTCTTTCCTGGTTTTAAGTTTTTACATTATGTGATTCCTTTATTAGTAAAAATATTCCAATTTTGTTTCATTTAAAACGCAATAAAATTTCTATGCAACATGGGTCTATTTTATTATCTGAAATCCTGTGCCGCAAAGAGTTAAGGTAGATGGGGAACGGAAATAATAAATTAAATATTTTGAAACGTACTATGGACATTAATACTAAACCTACCATGGTCTAAATCACCGTTTATCAAACTTTCGTTAAAAATTCCGTGTTTTGACTTTATCATCCTAATCACTCATCGTCGCAATTTTTCTTCCAATATACGTATAGTTATTTTCTCAGTATCTCATCATTTTCAAGAATATCTCTCAGTATCTCTCAAATTCACTTAAACCGACTCGAAAAAGCTTCTCGAAATCAATCCCACGCTGGAAATTTGAAAAGGTCGATTGGAAAAAATATAGTGAAACGATTGAGCAATTTGCAGACTGAATACTGTCTTTGAAGTCTTCCCTATTCGATTCAACAAAATTTTCAAGATAGTCACCACCATCTTAACAGAAGCAGCGGTTCAAACTATTTCAAGAATAAAAATAAAAAGGAAGAAAATCTTCAACGTATCTTAGGAATGTAAAGCTGTTGTGAAAGAAGCCAAACACGCATTTAACAAATTTAAAAAATACACTACTACAGAGAACTTAATCTGATACAAGAAAATCAAATGCCTAGGCAAGAAGAAAAACCTGTAGGGACCGCGAAAAAGAAAATTGATTATATTTTTTAAGCGAAATTAACAGTCCAACTTATACAAGTACAGTATGAATCAGAATAAAATATATCTGTTGCAACTCTAGGACCGAAATTTCCTTCTCTGCTCTACTTACAAAATTTTAGTATACATGGTTGACTACCATGAGTTTAAATATTTAAATTATATTTCAACGATAAAGAAAAATTATTAAATCAAGAAGAGCCATTCCACGGCTAGCTAAATCTGCCTTAACTTGTATCAATAGCACGCGACTTACGTGGGGCACATCACAAACCATGGGCGTGACACGTGGTGTTCACATTTGGCCTCGCCGACGTACCACGTGCCAGGCCCGTGATAGTCAGTTTTAGCCCGATAGATGTACCACGTGCCAGGCCCGTGAGTCAGTTTTATCCCGATCGATTTGTTCACATTTGGCCTCGCCGACGTACCACGTGCCAGGCCCGTGATAGTCAGTTTTAGCCCGATTGATGTATCACGTGCCAGGCCCGTGAGTCAGTTTTAGCCCGATCGATGTACTGGCCCGTGATAGTCAGTTTTAGCCCGATAGATGTACCACGTGCCAGGCCCGTGAGTCAGTTTTAGCCCGATCGATGTATCACGTGCCAGGCCCGTGATAGTCAGTTTTAGCCCGACCGATGTACCACGGGCCGAGTTCGTGATAATCAGTTTTCGCTGTCCACGAGTCTCACACGTGGTTGTAAGAAGGCTTAATTTGGCGGGCAACATTGACAAAGCGTAGGATGACGGATTTAGAACTCGACAGAATTCAAACGCGTCGCGATAAATGTTTTACAAAATTTTTTTTAAATCCTTCGAAATGTTGTATATACGTATTACACGTGCTATATAGAAGTACAAAATTTTATATGAATTAAACGATCGTTTTTCTTTATTTTTAAGGTTCATCTCCAGCACGACACCCAGTGAGTAGAACGACCGAAACCGTAGAGGAACGAATCACTGAATTGCCTGAATCTCCGAAAGAAAAGGTACAGAAGCCTTTGTTGTACGAAACGTAGAAAATTATTGGATCTTTTCTAAGTTAATTCTGAATTGTTCAAAAGTTAAATTATAGGCTTACGAATTTTTATTTTATACTTGTACTATAATTTTATACTGATAGTGTGGTACATTCATGATTCTCTTATTAGCAAGTATGCGAATATAGGGCATTTATTGCGATACTATAGGTTAACCTGATATACCGATTTCATAAAGATCGATACAAAAATGGTACGGTGATGTGAAAATTCTCTGGTATAGAGATTCTCTGTTCGAAGAACAGAAGACAGATTTACGCTTATAACGGTAACTCAGAATCTCATTAATCTACAAAATTTACTTGTGCTCTCTTCGTGTTTTCATGTTATATATATATACATATTTATGTGTTGTATGAAGTGACCGTAAAATTATTCCCAACGAGTTTGACGAAAATTTAGAACGATTTAGTGATATTTATATTTTTAAAGCTAAGTTTCACTTTACATACCCGTATCGTTAATTTAATAAGATTGACACTTCGTATTTAATTTTCAGTATGTTCGTATTAAGACTAATTTATGTCCTAAAAGCAGTGTCTATATATTTGAGATTATCTTAGCACGTTATGTTTTTATACAGAAGAAGTTACATTATCGACTGTTTCTTTTTTCCACTTTTGTAACTTCACCAAGTATTTCTATGTTCGACACTTTGATAGAAACTTATTGATACTTCTTCGAAACAAAAATTTTAATAATAAACATTGTACAGTACATGGCACAATCATTTCAATCTGTTCCTTTTTAGAACTAAATAAAATTGTTATCGAAGAGAAAATTATTTGACGAGCTGAAAATATTTTACATGCTTCAATAACGGTATGCCTGATACGTAATAACAAAACAATCGAGGAAATGGGAATGGTTGCGTAATTAAGTCAATAATATGCGATAGCAAAATATTTTATATAAACATTACTAACATTTTATTAATCGATACTTTGATAATTGGTTTATCCCATTCCAAATAGACGAGACATTTGATTGTCATAACATTGAATACTTTGTATTTGTTGGTGTCAAACATAAATGAAAGATAAATTTCGAATACATATTTAAGTAAAAGAACATAGCAGAATGGAAATTTTCCAAATAGAATATTTTAGAATATAATTAGTCGAAAAGTAATCGACGTTAAATATTTGATTTTGTTTGAATTATTTATTAATTTATAAATTATTGTTTCTTTTATAAATATTGTGAGGTATTACAAGTTGTTTTTTTAGAAAACTATTAAAGATAACAAGAAAAATTTTCATTTACTTTGTTCATATCTCATTATATTTTTTCATTTTATTAACAGAATACCGTTGTCTATATATCATTTTCACGTTTCTCCATCATCTTGTTTTGCTCGTTATACTTTAATAATATAAAAAATTTGAAATTCTTATTATCTTTTCTTATTGTCAGTATATTAAAGTATTAAACAATCTCTATGAATGATATTTAGATTCTACTCGCTTCAGAATCGTTCCAATGGAAATGGGTTTATATAGATAAAGAATTTGTATTTGATCTAATAATACCTGTTATGTCGTAAATTTACATTCACTATATACATATATATTATCAACTAATATATGTAACACATGAACATGGCCACCACTTTTGATCTCTCAATTTTCGTAAATTTATTTATATACAATTTATTATAATATTTAACGTGTCATTTAAACAATGCAATGTAATGAATTCCTCCTTTTCTTCGATTATTCTATTATAAATTAAATTGATATTGACTTTTAAATGTACATATTATCAAGATTTTTAAATCTCTCTTTGTCTCTTTTTCACGGTATTCTAAATCTGCTGAGACACATTTTCCGAGATGAAATACGAATGTTGGAACTCGGATGAAGAAGGTTGTAGACCGATTAATCTAACATTCTTCGAAAGACTTCTATTTGTAATACAAATTCTACAACAGAGCTATGTCGGAAAATACGATAACGTGCTATGTATCGGCGGGGAAGGAACTACCCTGTAATAATATTCGGAGGTGCTTATATACATTTGTAGGAACGGTGAGCGTGGCATGATTAGGGCATGAGATCGCCATCTGTGACGGTGCCTTTTGTCCTAGGTATGACTGTAAGGCGCGTGGGAATGCTCGGGCCCTTCCCCGAAAATAAAGGGCAATAAACAGTCGACTTGGGTTTGGCTCGAGCTAAGTTCGGGGTATTATCTGGAGTGCGCGCGGAAGGATGAGTGACCGTGCGCAAAGATCGTGTGAATGGGATGTTTATGGAAGTATCGGATGCAAGTGAAGAGTGGAAGTCTAGGAATGCATCTGAGTGTTTGGGCTACGTGACCCGCTGAGGGTAGGCTGTAAGTATCGGATGCAAGTGAAGAGTGGAAGTCTAGGAATGCATCTGAGTGTTTGGGCTACGTGACTCGCTGAGGGCAGGCTATAAGGAGTGCGTGAGAAAAGATTGGGAAAGAGAGCATGGATGTGAAATAGGATAGAGCGTATTTAGAGCGTTCTTTGGGGAGAGTTTGTTGGGAAATAGTCAGTGTGAAAGGTCATAGCGTCTAGAAGAAGTCCTAAATTAGTTCATGATAATTCTTACATTATTTTTAATTTCTGGAGGGGTGGAGATGACGAATTGGTTCTTAGAGTCAAAGTAGGAATGAGAATGTTGTTTCTTCACTGACGTTGGCCTGCATTTATCAGCTACTAGGTTCTTTTAGTGACTAAGAGTTTAGGGGATAGGTGTCCTTCCCCACGGGGTTACTTTTCTTGTCTTGTGGTTCCTATGGTGCTGCCGATTGGTATTCTTGGTAGCTCTCTTTTGCTATGATAGGTAGCTGATAGAAGGACGCAAGGAAGGGATGCGTATAAGGGATGGTATAGATACCATCATACACATATAAAAGAACCGAAACGTACAAGAGGGTTACAAATGAAAACTTAGACTATGAGATCGATGGCTCCAGCGTGAAGCACTCGCGATCTAAAATCAAACTTAGTATGCGTGTTTGTCTATGTATAGAAAGACACGAAGAAAACTATACAGCTTTTGGGTTTAAGTGGGTAAGGTGCAGGGGCTTTCTACTAGGGCCTGCCTTAGACGGGGGATACTTAAGTAGGATTAGGAACTTGTATTTATGAGAGTCGAGGATTGACTGAGGATTTGCGAAAAACCTCGAACCTTCGTTCTCTATCTAGCAGCAACGGTGTGAACGTAGGTTGCTACAATTCGATTAATTGATATGGATCTGCAGGGATCGGGTCCGATGTGCGTTGGCTTCGGGTAACTCCGACTTTCAAAGTCATAAACCGAGATTGGTGAAGCCAATGAGAGGTTGGTCACCTCTCGAAAAGGGTCAATCTTGCGGATGAACCCTCAAAAGGCCTCACATCAACTCTGATGTGGAGGACGTTCTTTATCCCGTGGAGGTGGCCGATTCCAAGGGTGTGTGCTTGGTCCAATTAACTGCTAATCGCGAGAGTGCTTGTCTTTTGACAGGACTTAAATCCTTGGCTTCGGGACACAGAGGAACATATCAGTAGGAGTTAGAGTCGTCACAATTGAAGTCGAGAGTTGGAATTAAAGTGTTCGCAGGGTATTCGAGAATGTGGGTGTTATAGTAATCGGTATCAGAGTCAAGAATGGTATTACAGCTGTTTCAGCGTAATGAGTCCGGAATTAATCTAGAAGTGACCCAAAGGACTCAGTCATGAGTTAGCGTGCTCTTTGTAACCACGCGTTGTATTCTAACAGAGGTGAATTGTCGCTGTGTTAGCGCTCTGTAGTATAAGTGTAATTACTGTGTATTATCTTCTATATTAAACTCACGTATGTCCACAAGTTTTACTTTGCTGTGTTTTCCTCCTTCCATAAAGAATTTCTATATTACATCTTAGATTTTCTTAAGAAATCATTCCCTCGCTATGAAAAATAAAAATATAGAAACAATGGATCCGTAGTTCCATCTTCTATTTCACGAAATAAGAAATAATTAAGACAATTACTTTATATATAAATGAAAGAGCAAGTTCGAGTATGAACAAAACGTGGATACGAGAATACCGTGCTGAAATCAAAGCCTTTTTCGGAATTCTTTTACTTTTTTGTCGCTTTAGAGAGTCCAGGGAAGGCAAACATGATTTATGGAGGAAGAATGCAGCATATTGTCGACCAGTTTATACGGCTATTATGTCTTCAGACTGATTCAAACACATATTATTGTATATTTTTAGCGTTTTCATGGCGCGGTTTAACGTTTTCATGGAGATACCACGTGAGAAGAACAAAAGGCAAAAGATAAATTGGCAGCAATTTGTAGAATAGCCGATATTTTTGCAAAAGAAATTGCAGAGAGTTATATGAAGTATCAGTAATTTAGTATCAACGACAATTGACGAGCAGAATAAACTGCAAGCCAATATTTTTGCAAAAGAAATTGCAGAGTCATATGAAGCATCAGCAATTGCTGACATATAGAGGCTCTAGTCCTTTCAAAGTTTACATATTCAATAAACTGTATAAGTACGATATGAAGATTTGCTGTCTTCGTGACATAAAATCATATTATTTGTGCAATTTTTATATATATCAAGCAAAATTGAGAATTCAATCGAAAGACAGTAAGACCAACGGGCAGTGAAACGATTGTTCAATCTTTTACAAAATTCGGAACATTTAATAACGATAGATAATGGATAATTTCTAATTTCACTGACGTTTCTTTGGCGAATTAATTATTACAACACAAATTATATATTGTCGGGACGATGAAGAAGAATAGGAGTGGGCATTAAAAGAAGAGAGAAGATCCAAAATTCTCGTGCAAATGAAAAATCGCCATCAATTTTCTCGAAGTTATGCAGACTTTAAAGAGAACACCACAGAAGCTAAACAGAACTTAGTCAGAATGCATCAGAACACTAATGGATCGTGTAAGGGGTTCACTAAAGGAGGGCTAGTTCATAAGTCTAACACTCGGTGGCCGATTCGCTATACGTCTTT